CTTGTCCTGGCGGTCTGTCGCAAGCTATCAATATTGTCGTCAACCAGGTCGCTCAAACGCGCGATCTCCTTGCCCGATGTCGGACTGCCTTCGGGTGTGTAAAACAGGCCATAGCCCTTGCTGGGCGTAGGCGTACTCTCAACTTCGGGAGTTAGAGCACGACGGCTTAGATCGGTCAGGGTCATCTTGTTGCGGTTGGTAGGCGGGGTGGCGTAAGGCGTATCGGCAATGCTGCGGCGGAGATCCGTACCGCGTGACCGTCGGGGCGTACCAGCGTTGCGTGATGAAGATGAGGAAGGACGACTGGAGTCTGCGAGGCCGATCTTGCGCAATTGGGCCTCTAGGACGAGGATGTCGTTGTTCTTCTGCTCAGCAAGATTGGCCAACCTGAGGACTGTCTTCTTGACAGCCTCCATGGAAGGCACTGACTTTGTGCTGCCGTTCTGTGCGTTGTGGGACACCAGACGCGAGCGTAGGACTGCGACTGCATCTTCAGCCTTGCGTAGCGACGTCAAAAGCTGAGCATAGTCGTTGCGCAGAGCCTTCTGTCCATCGGCAAGCTCCTTTGGCAATGGTGCCTTTCGGAGAGCTTCTGTCTTTTCGGGGTCCTTGCGATTGATGATTTGGCGGCGTATGTCATTAAGACGAGTCATGAGCTTGGCCTTGTCGTGAAGAAGACGAGCGAGCTGTGTGAGCTTGAGGAGCACATCCTGTACCCGCCCTGCATCCAGCTCTTGTTCAAGCTGATCTTCAAGAGATCGCAAGGCTTGAATCTCGCACAAAGTGAAGTTCTCGAACCATGAGCCGTGAGGTCCCTGGTCTTGGACATCATCCAGCATACGTCGATCGATTTGGTGACCAGTCTGGGGCTGTAGGTGGTATTGTGTAAACGACTTGATAGATCGAGCGTTCCAGCCAAGTGCATCCACCATACCGTTGATGTCTTTGTAAATCAACTCGATCTGAGCGGCGTGACCCGTCTTGCTAGGTGATTTGCCACCAGTGTAGTTCTGGTATGCGACAAACTCCTCCAGGTTCCGGCTCGGCTCGATCGGCTGCGCAAGCTGTGCGCGTATCCGCTCGTCCTCCTCATCTTCAAGATCGGAGACCTGTGGCTGTGGCGTGGGCGGCTTGGACCCCTGCATGGATGAGCTCAATGAAGCACCCGGTGCGACCAAAGGTTCTCGTCGGAGACGAGAAGCTGAGCTCGAACGAGCTGGACTAGGCGAGCGAAGGTCTTGGGCGCGGTTCGTCGGAGGCGGGAAGTTCGGTTTCGCAGGCATCGATGACTGATCGGGTTTACCAGAGAAGGGGCCTTTGTTCGGTTGCTGACCGAACAGCGATGAGCCTGAGAACGATGGTTGGTTGGCGGCAGGTTTCGAGGCCTGAGCGAACAAAGAAGGCTGGGCTGGTGAAGCGCTGCTTCCGGACTGTGATGTGGCGCCGGACTTCACTGTGGGAGGAGTCGGTGCAGGGGGGAAGAACTGCCGCGACTGGTTGACACTGTCCTGGAAGCTCCAGGTACCCGCCTTCGCGGCTTGCGGCTTTGTTGTCTTGTTTGGCGGGTATGTGTCGTCGACTTCTTCAACCTCCTCATCGTCCTCCTCATCAGAGAAACCTTCCTCATCATCATCCTCTTCGCTCTCGTCGTCATGGTCGTGATCATGTTCTTCCTCGTCTTCGTTGTCAATGGGAGATACATCTCCAGACGAACTAGGTGCTTCCACCTCGACGCCAGGACTACCAGCGAGCGGAGGCAAATCGTCGCTAGTCGAATTCGGCAACTTTGTGTTGATGAAATCTGGAGGTAGAGGTGCGTCCTCAGTTTTCGCCGGCTTAGCCTTGGTGAAGTCTGGTGGCAAAGGTGCGTCGTCCACCGGAGTAGCGGGCTCTTGCACAGGTGGTGCAGCCTTGGGGGTTGCGCTCTCCCTTGCAGGAGTGTCACTGGGGAATAACGACTTCTGCTTTGGCGGGGATGCTGGTGTCGTGGAGACCCAACTTGGGGGGTTTTCGCTCGCTGGGGTTGCGGGCGGCTTCATCCCTGTCTTTCCTAGCATGTTGGAGAAGTCACTGCCGAAGAAGGAACCGTTGGCAGGAGCCGCAGGCTTCGCTGGATCGTCCTTAGCTGTACCGTCACTTGCAAAAGTAGTACCGAGCTTGAAGCCACCTGCAAGGCCGAACAAGCCTTGGGACGGCTGAGCTTGTGGTGTAGGTGTAGCTTCGTCCCTCTTTCGGTCGTTTGCCTCGCTCGCATCGGAGTCCTTCGACTCGAACGAGGCCGTGTTGAACGATGACTTGTCTTGCTGTCCAAAGATCGAGCTGCTTTGCTGAGCGGGCGTAGTCGCCCAGGAGGGTAGCGAAGATCCAGTCCCAGAGCCAACGGTGACAGTAGAACCAAAGCTTGGCTCTGTCTTCAGACCTCCAAAGCCAGATTTCTGCTGCCCTTGCCCGAGTGCTCCGAACCCGGAGCCTGCTTGTGCAGAGTTGTTGCTTCCAAAGCTCGAAAAGGAGTTTGATCCTCCAGCACTTTTGAATTGGGCGAATCCTGACGAACCACCAGCAGCGGCCGAGAATGGGTTGGATTTTGACTCTGAAGTTTGAGATGTCGCTCCCCATGGAGATGCTTTGCCGCCCATTCCACCTACTGCGCCGAATCCGGAGCCGGCACCTACTGCAGAAGGAGCGCCAAAGGCAGGTTTGGCGGGAGTGCCGATTGCAGAGGGAGCACCAAAAGCTGGCTGAGGAGGCTTACCGATTGTAGATGGAGCACCAAATGAAGGCTGTGCAGGTTTACCGAAAGTTGGAGCAGGCAAATTGGTAGCAGCAGTACCGAATCCGGGTGTTCCAAAGCCGGGCGGTTGGGGTTTCATCAGAGCGGGAGTTGGTGTACCGAATCCGTTTCCAGCGTTGCCAAAGTGGGGGATGCCAGCTGTTCCTGGGGTGCCGGGTGTGCCCATGGACTTGCTGAAAGGGGTAGATGTAGCAACCGGGAGTTTGGACGCAGGCGTGGATGCCCTCGGAGTAGAAGAAGGCGCATGCTGTGTGGCTTCGCTCTTGAAGATGAGACCGGGGTAGCGTTCTCCAGCCTCGATAGATTTGTTCCACATCACCCACCAGGCCGCAAGAAGACCTTCGTGGGTCAGAGCCATGTATGCAGGGAGCGGCCACGGCGCCTCGTTGATCTCTTCCAGGGCGGGAATGGGGCGCAGTATCTTCTCCTTGCTCGAAAGATCAAGCGCCTCGCCAATGAAGACGCTGTCCATTTCCTCGTCTCCATAAGCGGTTCGCGGCACCTGAGCCTTCTTCGTATCGTCCACGTTGACCATCATGAGCTCGTTGCAGGTTTCTTGATCCGGGGAGATCTTGTTGCTTGTGGAGGCAAGTATCGCGATGGAGTCTGCATGGGAGGAAGTGATAATAAGCATGTCGTCGAGATCGGGCTTCCAGTTTTGTAGGCGTGTGGACGAAATCCGTGCAGGTAGTTGGCGACGTGGAGCTTCGAATGCCTCGGGAAGAGGATCCCAGACAAAGGAATGGTACGTGAAGGATCCCCAGCCCTTGGCCGATTTGATGACGCTGTACTTCTTTTGCTCCGGGTTGTCCTGGTCTTGGTCCTTCAGAGAGTAGACAGCAAGGAATTCTTCAGTTTTCAGCCACGACACGCCGGTCACCTCGTAGTTTTCATCGACGTCTGGAGGTCGAGGAACGATACCTCTTAGATCTCCAGCGGTCATGTGTATAGCGCAGGTGCCATCAATAGAGCCAGAGACTACAGCCTTTCCACGCGCACTCCAAGCGGCGCAGTTGACGTGTGCCTCTCGAATCGTCTTCTTGACGCCCTTCTCCACATCGCATATCTCGAGCTTGCCGTTATCGAGGACTATGGCGAAGTATTGTTCGAATTCGGGGGAGGGGTTTGGGAGGAGAGCGCGAACGGGTGCGTCGGTCGCCAGTTTCGTGTCCGCGTCTTTCTTGCCTTGGCTAACGACACTCGCAACATTGTACGCAGCGACGCCGCCGTCGGCCTCATCAGATGTAACCAAGAAATCTCCATCGGCGGAGAAAGCGACATGGCGGAGGTTGGGAGTAGAGATGGTGATATCGGGCGTGAAGTCTGCTACGACGTCAATGTCGCGCTCTTCGAGACGCGGGTCATCGGCGTTTGCGATGTCATCGGCTATGGTCTTGTTCTGGAAGGCGCTGCGCACGGAGTCTGTGGACGCGATGACGAGGATGTTGGGGCCGGCAGCAGCGAGAAGGGCGGGCTTGGAGGCGACGGAGAGGAGGTTTGCGCACGCAGGTGGCAGATTATCGGCGGGCCATGGCCGGGGCAGGATCTTGACCTTCTTGGGGCCCTGTTTGCCCTGGTTGAGGACCTTGAAGCCGAGATGCTGTGAATTTGTTAGTATCGTCGCATGGCGGTCTGGTGCGAGCTGGAGCTACCTCAGTCTCAACTTCGGGCACCTCAGGCCCAGCCTCGACAGCCGGCGCGGGAATCTTAGACATTCTGCAGGACTTGCAGGCCGAACAGGTTCTGGCGCGTAGGAGGCTCGGCTTGGTGTCGCGCGTCGGAGTTCTCAGCTTATTCATATATGCATCGGAGGACGAGCGCGGGAGCGCGTGCTAGCCTTGGTGTGTTTTGGGAAAGAGCAAACAGGCCGTTCTAGGCTAGGCGGGAGCAGGTGAAGGTGATTGAAACGGCGGAGATGCAAGGAGATGGTGCCTGGCGCTCTGGATAGTCGAGCGACAAGCATGCGACCATTAGCTCGACGCTCTGAAGCGACGCGCTTTGTTGTTCTGAGAAAGTTCCCGAGCTAGTGGAGCTCATCGCTGCGCCAAGGCTCCATCCAAGCTCCAGGCACGACAGCTACGCAACCTCGCCCTCGCCGCCGACCGCCTAGACAAACCGAGTAGACGCGCGACATCACCACCTTTACCACTATACACGCCGTCTCCGCAGCAAGCACCCCACGCCTCCACCGACACCGCACACCAACACCATGGGCGGCTTCGACTTCTCCAACCACAACCGCAATGCGGCTCTCCACGCCCAGGGCATCCCGCTGCCCAAGGCGACAAGCACAGGAACAACCATTGTGGGCTGTCTCTTCAACGGCGGTGTAGTCATCGCAGCAGACACACGAGCCACAAGTGGTCCCATTGTAGCAGACAAGGTAGGCTCGTCCCCGCCATAGACACAACCACCACCATGGACACTGGTCTGACATGCACCGCAGAACTGCGAGAAACTCCACTACATCTCCCCTCACATTTGGTGCGCGGGTGCCGGTACCGCTGCCGACACCGAGTTCACCACCGCCATCATCTCCTCGAACCTCGAACTGCACGCCCTCTCCACCGGCCGCAAGCCCCGCGTCGTTACCTGCATGACCATGTTGAAGCAGCACCTGTTCCGCCACCAGGGTCACATTGGCGCCTACCTCGTCATTGCGGGTGTTGACCCCACCGGCGCACATCTCTTCACCGTCCACGCCCACGGTTCCACCGACAAGCTGCCGTACGTCACCATGGGCTCCGGTTCATTGGCCGCCATGTCCGTTTTCGAGACACAGTGGAAGTCCGACCTGTCGCGGGAGGATGCCGTCACACTATGCGCAAACGCCATCGAGGCAGGTATTTGGAACGATCTGGGTTCCGGTAGCAACGTGGACGTGGCGGTCATCACAGAGGACAAGACCACTCTGATGAGGAACTACAAGACACCAAACACCAGGCAGCCCAAGCAGAGGAACTACAGGTTCCAGCGGGGAACTACTGCGGTGCTGAACGAGAAGATCATCACAAAGGAAGAGATCAGCAAGTACGTGACCGTACACGAGCTCAAGGATGGCGATGTAGCCGGTACAGCAGAGACGATGGATATAGACTCATAGGTTTTGCTCTAGCTCCGGGGCGATGCAAGATGGCGTTACGAACATGAACGTGTATTATACACCGAAACGGGGTTCCAGACGAACCAGCCGGATAGCTACAAGGCAATATGATGACGATCAATGAACCACCTCACCAGATATTCAAAGCAAGCATTCGATGTGAACGGCATTTAGTCATGGAATCTTTTGTGCATTACACTACCTAACAGAACAATAGAAGTCTAGTGACCCTCAGTAAAACATGGACTCCGCATCGCATCCATCACGCCGTGCCTAACGACATCTCTTCTCGACAATACCAGCACCATGCTCCTCGTACTCCTTCCTTGAGATCCACAGCTGGTGGAAACTGCCCAGACTGGCTAGTATACTGCCACCAATCCAGGCTGCGTATTTCCTCTCCACCACGCTACCGGGTGCAATGAGCTTATTCCTAGTGCTGGGGTAGATGGCGTTGATTTCGTAGTTAAGGCGCTCGTTGAACTTGTAGAGTAGCGTCGAGCCACCTGTTACGACGATGTTGGAGAGGAGGAGAGGACGTTGGTCGGCGTCGACTTGTTGGACTGCTGCTTGTACGAGTCGGGGGATTGTCTGTTCAGGCTTCGGCGCGGGCATGGTTTCGCTGGCGAGCGCGGCGTTGTGGTCGAAGAGACCCTCTGCGGCGCGGAACCTCTCGATGCCGAAGACTTGGTTCCAGCCGTCGGGCATTTCGAAGGGTCGGCCTGGCATGCTCTTTGCCAGCTCTTCGTTGGTGCTGAAGCGGCCGGGGCCAGGCCAGACTTCTACGACGGATTCCTTGAAGGACGTGAGAATGCGCTCCTCTTCGTTTAAGCGGAACGAGTCGGTCGGTGGTGTCTCGAATGTCTTGTAGGTTGCTTGGGCGGGTACCCCAGCGTCGACTGGCGTCTTGCTCTTGACCATGTAGTGCGGTGTCAATGGCACTTCAGGCTGGGCTTGCTTGAACGACGTCCGTATCTGATCAGAGACAAAGTTGCCTGCTAGAGGCGATTTCTGGACACCCTTCCGCAACACCATGCCGTCAAGCACAGGTGTGACGGATGTATGCGACGCACCGACGTCAATGATGATGCCTGACGCTTTTCCTGATGCAAAGGCAGCCAATACACCAGTCTTCTGCAAGAAGAAAGCTGGCGTGCCCCAGTCCTCCATGGCGATCTCAATGTACTTTTCCCGTGCCTTTGCGCTGTTCCAGCCTGGTTCCGTGACCAACAGCGGGCTGTCTTCCAGCGGCTTCTCGTTGTTTTCTAACGCGTCCATATCCACGTCCATGGCCTCCCCATTCTCGTTCTCGCCATTGCCATCGTTCAGCCCGTTCTTGGTAGGGTCGGTTGGTTTTGCGCCGGTGAGTCGGCTCGTGATCGCATACTCCCACAGCTTGGTCGCTGTATCCCAGTCCTCTACAATGCCGTCTGAGCCCCAATAGTTCTTAATATCGAGACCGCCGACCGGCGCATGTATCGCATTCTCGCCGAATAGGTGTTCGCCTGAGGATGTTTGGCCGTAAAAGGAAGGGCAGACGGACTTGGGCACGTCCTCGCCAGCGAATCCAGCGCGAACGGTCGAGTAGCCGGGGTCGAGAACGATCGCAGAGACCTCATCTATGGTTCTCAATTAGCGTGCGCAGCATGTAGAGCTCCGTCGAGCTTTGCGTACCTCCGGCGTACTCTCCCGCAGCTGGTGCGGTCGATGCGTTGGGAATGTTCATCGCGCGCGACTATCGCAATGCGCAAAGCTTGATAAAGATTCGCTTGTATACGTGAGGCCTGATTGACGCGTGATAATGGGTATTCGAGGTGCTTTGGGCGCTGTCCTTGCAGGATGGGCGTTGGTGTTGGAGCGAAGCTGTTGCCAGACGCGAACTCCAAAAGTTGAGGTTGCGGACCTGGCCTCCATCACCGCACTTGTCCCCCGCGCCTCCCCTCCGCATACTTCAGGGGCACATACACAGGGTCTCTTGAACACTGGAAGATGAGGAGATAGTCTAGGCAATACAATGGCGCTCAAATTCATTCGCCAGCTCTACTCGCTGGATACCCTCGACACACGCTTCGTTGTACCGGCCACCGCATCCCCGAAAGAGGCGCTCGAAGAGGCCAAACTAGATCCCGCTGGACCAGTGCCAGTCAAAGATGGACGGAATGGAGACAAGAGTCTAGAAAATAGAAGTCATGCGCCGCTATGGTCAACGCCAGAGTTCTACTTCTACTACGTGTCCATTGCAGCCAGCGTGTTCTTTATGTTCAAGTTGGTACTAGATGTTTCTCAAGGTTCGTCCAAATGGGCCCGCAGAGGGTGAGGGGAGCTGATCGTTATGCAGAATCCCATCCAAACTATCCGAAGTTTGAACATCTTCTGTCAGATGGCTGGATACCTGGTCGCAAAGTAGTACGTTGCAACATCGACTGTCACATGCCATTGTCTAACTGCTCAGGACAATACCGATGCTCAGTACAGCGGGTTCCGCCAGAACATTCCTTACCTCTTCATCGTTGTTCTACTTCATCCTATTCTGCGTAAGGCCTATGATTCGTTCTGGAGGGCGGGAACGTATACTCAAGTTCGGCCCTCTGCCGGCAATGGCCTTACTATGGGCTTAACCCCAGGTGCTGCAGCGGATGCCCGTATGAACCAGCGCATTTCATTCGACCTTTTATTTGCCGCTATCTTCCTTGCCGCCCTTCATGGCTTCTCAGCATTCAAGATTGTCGCCATTCTTTACGCCAACTACTGCATCGGGACGAAGCTTCCTCGACAATATGTACCGGCTGCTACATGGATCTTCAACGTCGGGACTCTATTTGCAAACGAGTTCTCAGACGGCTACTCGTATGCCAACATACTTGGCACTTTCCTTCCATCCACATTGTCGGAGAAAGGTCAACCAGCATCCAACTTCGGTCACACTCTAGACAGCTATGGTGGTCTGATACCTCGGTGGGAGGTTCTTTTCAACTTCACCATACTCCGGTTGATCAGCTTCAATCTCGATTACTATTGGAGTCTCAACTCTCGGACGGGTAGTTCCATTGAAGTACTTTACCCACCCACCCTTAGTTCGATATAGCTAATAACATCAAGAAGAAACAACTCGACCCTTCCAACCTCTCCGAGCGGGACCGCGTCACGATACCTGCCAAGCCTACTGACTACACTTTCCGCAATTACTTTGCCTATGCCATGTACTCGCCCCTCTACCTCGCTGGGCCTATCATCACGTTCAACGATTACATCGCTCAATGCCGGTACCGACCCCACAGCATCACGACCAAGCGAACAACATTCTACCTCGTACGCTTCATTGTCGTCTTGTTGACGATGGAAATCATGATCCACTACATGTACATGGTCGCCATCTTCCATGAGAGGCCCGACTGGTCGCAGTACACGCCTGCCCAGCTCAGTATGCTAGGTTTCTTCAACCTAAAGCACATCTGGCTAAAGCTGCTCATCCCATGGCGTTTCTTCCGTCTCTGGTCGCTCTTGGACGGTATCGATCCTCCCGAGAACATGGTCAGATGTATGTCTGACAATTACTCTGTCATGCACTTCTGGCGCGGTTGGCATCGTAGCTTCAACAAGTGGAGTTTGCGATACCTTTACATTCCGCTGGGTGGCAACAGAGGAGATGGTCTCTGGGGCAAGGCAAGATCGGTTGGAAACTACCTCGCCGTGTTTACCTTTATCGCGATTTGGCACGATATCCAGCTTCGGTTGCTGATGTGGGGTTGGCTGGTCACTCTCTTCGTTCTCCCAGAGATTATCGCTTCGTACATATTCCCCGCAAAGAAGTGGAAGAACAGCCCAGATGCATATCGCTGGTTATGCGGAGTCGGCGCCGTTTTCGAGATCCTCATGCTCATGACAGCTAATCTCGTCGGTTTCGCCCTGGGAGTCGATGGTCTCAAGGACTTGGTCCGTGGTATTGTAGGAACATGGTCTGGCTGGATGTTCCTTGCTACGGCTTGTGGTGCGCTATTCACTGGTGTGCAGTTCATGTTTGAATGGAGGGAGAACGAGAAGAGGAGGGGAATTAAGATGAAGTGTTAGACTTGGAGGGTCTACTGGATTGGTTTTGTGGGTAGATGCTATTCGCATCGCCTTTGTATTACTACTCTTAGCCCGCGACTATCGCCGAGTAAATATCACTTCAGAGTGACCTTGGAGATAGGTACCATGCTCGTCCTCTTCCATCGACTCTTCCTGCTTACATGACGACACAGCACCATGTCTTATCTTCATCTCCGAACTTCTTCGCATCATTCCATTCCTTCTCAGAAGCATCCCACTCTTTCTCAGGAGCATCCAACTGCTTCGCGGCATCTTCCAACTGCTTATCGATCTTCTTGTTATGTGTCTCGACCTCCCTTGTCTGGCTCTCGTACTCTAGTCTCTCGCGCTCTTTCTCACAGCACGTAACATCGCTTCCGTTCGAAGGAGTCGCACTACAGGCCGGAACTGTTCTCTTGATATCCCCAGTTTTCATCGTTGCCTTCGACCTTGTTCCATCGGGATGTTTGACACGAATCGTAGTGCGACCGTTCTTGTACCTGGTGACGAAGGTATCGCCGTCTTTGAGGCCAGCCCTATCTACATAATGTCAGCATTCGCAAGTTCGTCACGCCGTAGCACCTGTGCCTGGAAGACTTACAGCTAAGATATCCAACGAGCGACATAAGTCGGTGGCTCAGTGCGTCTACCGCTGCTCTCTTACTTGCACGTCGCAAACCTCCAACGACGGTATCGCCGTGGAACACAGCGCCATCATTGACTGCAATAACGGCTTGGTCAGCCTCACGGTATTTAGCGATGAGGAGGGCCCTATATCCCTTTTCGCATGTGCATGTTGGAAGGATGATAATCTGGTACTGATGCTCATGGCCGTAGAGGAAAGAAGCGTTCTCTGTTGGTAGAGCTCTGTTAGCCAACTGCACAGCGATGTGGGCACGAGTAACTTACCGTTTATGCTCTGCGCTGCGTCC